GCCTGTTATCCAAAAACAAAAATTGGCTCAATTGAAATCATGGATGGATAGGGGGGGGGGGGTACAGGTTTGTGGGGATGGGTGGGGTAAAGAACTTCACCCTTTTCATTCTGTTTAGTAGTATGATTGCAGCAATATATAAAGTATTATATATGGATGGAATTTTATTTTAAATAAAAAATAAATGTTTTTTAAAAAATCTGAAAATAATAAAATAGAGTGGTTGTGTAAAACTGAGAAACGTTAGATAAATTTTAAAATCGTTTAGTTGTATTGTTAACATCGCCACTAAAGTCGAGAAAAATTAAAGTTGGATAATATTGTACGCCCTTAACCAACTCACTGATTTCATATCATCGTATACTGATGTATAGAATGGAACGTCTAGGTGAGCTTCAATACCCTCTTGCCAATCCATCACATAAGTAAACAAATCTCCGTACATATCTGAAATAAACAAATCTCTGTACAAATCTGAAACAAACAAAACCCCGTACAAATCTGGAATAAACAAATCCCTGTACTCATCTGAAATAAACAAATCCCTGTACAAATCTGGAACAAATCTCCGTACAAATCTGAAATAAACAAATACCTGTACAAATCTAAAATAAACAAATCCCTGTACAAATCTGGAACAAATCTCCGTACAAATCTGAAATAAACAAATCCCCGTACAAATCTGACATAAACTAACCCCTGTACATATCTGAAATAATCAAATCTTCAAATAAATCTGAAATAATCTAATCTCAATAAAAATCTGAAATAAACAAATCCCTGTACAAATCTGGAACAAATCTCCGTACAAATCTGAAAAATAACAAATCCCCGTACAAATCTGACATAAACTAACCCCTGTACATATCTGAAATAATCAAATCTTCAAATAAATCTGAAAAAATCTAATCTAAAAAAAAAATCTGAAATAAACAAATCCCCGTACGAATAAAAAAAAAATAAACAAATCCCCATACAAATCTGAAACAAACGAATCGTCTGACAAATCGATTTAAAACAAATACGTTTTGCGTTAGAGTCTATACCGTCTTGCCAATCCGTTAAATACGTCAACAATTTATCAGGTGCGAACATTGATCGTGTATCACACTACTCACACCCAGTGTTCAGACGAACAAACTGCTCAAACGTCAAAGGGTAATGCAAGGGTAGGCAGCCTCGCGATGTAGGATGAGACGAGTACATCCTTGGGGTTTCTGTCCATGCGAATTATCTTTTTTTTCTTCGCTAAGGCTTGCTTGGGCAGATACCTGAAACGTAACATAGCAGTTAAATGACAGCTTTTCGAGACATTATTAACGCTAGATGAAAAATCAATGCGCAACTCAACGAAAAGTGCAATGGATTTGAATGGACCTTTACATTAGTTGTACTTACGGCAGAAAAAATGTTTGCTTGAATGCTACAGTTTCTCGGATGGAATTTTGCTCAAATTTGACAATAGCTCCAATGGAGTTTAGCCCAAAAGTGACTATTGTTCGAATGGAGTAAAGCCCAAATATGACAACTGCTGTAATGGACCAATGATGTAATAGGGTTGGCTTGTCGGGCTATTGATTGAGTATAGGGTTGGGGTTGGGGTGTATGTAGAGAGTTTGTTATGGGTGGCAGTGAGGAGAGGATGAGGGTTGAAAGGTCATGTCAGGGATCACGTGGTAACATAACGTGGAGAACGAGATGGTCGGTGTTTGTTTCTGTTGCAGAGGCGGGGCATGGGGGTGTGGGGGGGGGGGGGGGGGGGGACTGGTGCTTTTCAAAACTTTTTAAAAATAAAATTGCTCACAGAGTAGCCTTGCTTCCAATACATAATAACAAAACTTGACCAATTGACAAATTAATATAATATTTGGAAATTGTTGCGACCTACCTAAACGGCACATGAGTTACTATAAGTCTGGGCGACGGCATGCTTTCTGCGTTATGCACCGGCCTCCCATTCGAAACAAAACAGTCTCTTCTCTGTCGTCAGCTTCTCGGTTTTGTACATAACATGCTGATTAGTTCACGGTGTCAATAAAGACCTGATTGGCAAACGTATTAGCAACAAAAAATTGAATGTGATGGAGAAAACTATTTTAATATACAAAGCTATTTAATAGAAAAGTGTAGGAATATATTTCTGGCGTCGCCTAACCTGATCTGGAAAATTAGCAAATGATGACATCATCAGGTTGAATCTCCATGTTCCCGATGTTACGTAGGTGTGTCCTGTGGTCAGTGTCGGCACCAATAGGGAAGGATGGTTGCCAGTAGCCACCAGTGTTACCGAAGTAAAAAGTGTTGCCGAATCTGAGGTAGAGAAATACACAGGAATGTGGCTGTCCAGCTTATTAAGCGGAAATATACTAATTAACAGTGAAAATCGCCAACTATCGTTCGTTGAAGAATATTTAGGTAAATTCTGTATCATGGCTTCAGGAAATTCAACAGTGCCATTCTCTTGCGACATATTATTGCTGGCGGCGTTGAACTTTAAACAACCGGTGTAGTTGGAACGTGATACCACAGTGGCAGATGCTCTCTCTCTCTCTCTCTCTCTCTCTCTCTCTCTATATATATATATATATATATATATATATATATATATATATATATATATATATATATATGTATATATATATATATATATATATATATATTTATATATATGGTGACAGGACAAAATATCTCAGGACAAAAGATACCAGGACAAAATATATCAGGACAAATGATACCATGGACAAATGATCTCAGACAAAATATCTCAGACAAAATATCTCACAGCAAAATTTTAATAGTATATACGATCATTTTTGTTGATTTGACCATTGTTTTAATTGACTGTCATATAATTTGGTTTACTTTATTTAATATTGTTTGTAAGCCTATATAATAATTTTAAGAGAAGTTTGACGCATAAATTTGTCATAGTGCACTAAACATTTTGAAATTGCGATTATAGTATGCGAAAATTAAAGAACTTTTTTTTCGATAGACAGCGTAGGTGGGCTTGCCGAACATGAGACAATCCTACCATGTCAGGTGAACGAAACTAGGTCAAAGGGGATGAAATAACAATAAAGACACACCTTCGTATTAAGGTGACCGCCTGCTTTGATGGCAGAAACATGCCGGGAAAGACATCTGCCCTCCATGGACAATACAACTAGCATCTACACTCTATAGGAAATGTTATTCGTCGGTCACAGTGATCATGTGACAAACGCTTATTTAAACGACAGCGTTCATCGTAGAGCAACGCTCGTTGTAGTGTTAAAAGAAGTAAAACAGTATAAGTGGTGATTACCCAGCTATGGCCTCTTTCGTTATATGTTTGTGTTGATGATGCAATAAAACAATGGTTTTACGTTACAAAACTGAAGACCCAATCAAATGGTTCAAACATATTTAGCGTGTTTTGAACATTAATATTGTATAATTACCTTTACTTTATTTGTTTTATTCTTTACCATTAATTATAACTTTCAAGCTAACGGTGTAAGTTTGTTTTAATTTTTACGTTTTCAAATCAAATGCTATTACAAAGATTAAGTTGAATAAATCTTTTGATGTTTCGTTAAGTTATTTATTCACGATTATTTTGTGTAAAAAAGTAAACTAAACCATATAACAGTCAATAAAAATTTTTTTCAAATCAACAAAAATGATCGTATATACTATTAAAATTTTGCTGTGAGATATTTTGTCTGAGATATTTTGTCTGAGATCATTTGTCCTGAGATCATTTGTCATGGAACCATATATATATATATATCTTAAGCTAGAAGAGTTAACATTCATTATAGTAATTGGTTTTTAATTTCAAAATTGGATATTAAGTTTCGAAATCTAATTTACAAATTTATAATACTTTGCCGTTAAAAAAAACTGCTATAGCAATGTACATTCCAGTCATGCATCTCTACCAAGAGCTAACTACTCTCATCAGGCTTTTGCCCTCGGCCAGAAATTATTGGAATAATTGTAATTGCTATGAGGTCACTCCGCAGAAATTTGACGAGCTGATTGACGCTAATGATACGTCTTTAGCATGGTAGACAGCAGTCATTAGTGTTAATCACAACGATTATAGTTGAAGTGATTTCTACATTAGTTACCTATTTAATTAGATTTACAAGTATTATTTAATTAAATCTAATTTTCTAATCTATTAGTCGTACGAAGCTACTAAAATAAAATGTAAAGAATTTTTTTTTTAACGAAAACCATCAGTTTTAAATATAATTTCTAAACAGATTCAAATGTTTTCAAATTAAAAACCGATATTAGGTATTCAGTTAATTATACCCGTTTTTTAAATTTATTTTCGTACATCATTTTCACAGTAATTGCTGTCTGATACAGGCCTATCACTCGAAACAAAAAAAAAAGTTGTTAAAAATGGCAAATAAAAGTTGACAAACTAAAGCTAAATGTTTAAATTATAAAAATTATCTGATACTTTACTGATAGCGCAATAGAAACACCACTAGTTGGATAGAAGCTGCAAACAACGAAGATAATCTCAAGTTTGAAAAGTCCTCGACACGTATGTACTTTAATATCCATCTGTACGATTTTGGATAGTGTTTGACAATTTAAAATATTCTAGTGGCCCTACTTCGATATGCAACAGCAATTCCCGTAAATAAACTTGAGCTTTATGTTAGTTTACGGTAATTTATGTTCAACAATGTTAAGTAACCAAAGGTTACGTAGGGTAGAGTTCCAGTGTTTGACTAATTAAAATTAACTTATATAAATCGAACAAATTTCGAAAATCGATTGCGTAGGCTTGTATAGAAACAAAACGAAAGTAATAAGAAATCAAATAATTAATTTTAGTATTCATAGATCTATTTTTAATTAAAATATATATACATTTCTTGAAACATTTATTTTGAAAGCATTAATTCGTTTGCAAATATGTAATAATAATGTTATAAATTTAAAATAACGACCGGTGTCTGTTGTACACGTGAATTCTATTGTTTTACAGAATGTCAGTGGTAACCACAGATAATAGCGTGAACACCACGGTCCGGCTGGTCACACCGCCCCGGTACGTGATCACCAGCACCAGCAACGACGTGGTCATCTACTGCGAGATCGTCTTCAGCTTCCTGCTGACCCCGCTCCTGTGTCTGCTGGGGGTCGTCGGCAACGTCTTGAACGTCATCATCCTCCGGCACCACGGCCTGCGGGACAAGGTCAACATCCTCCTCCTCTCCATCTCCGTCTGCGACCTCTTCTTCTCCCTCTCTCAGCTCGTCATCCAGGTCAACCGTTTCATCCGTTTCGCCACCCCCGCGATGGCTTTAACCTTGACCTCCTTCGTGAACTTGTACGTACTTCCGGTCAACCAAACGTGTTTTTCTATAAGTATATGTCACGTGACGACCATCGCTATTGAAAGACTCGTGGCTGTATGTTTCCCTTTTCACGTGTCGCGAATCTTCACCCAGTTCCGGCTGAAAATCTGCGTCGTTTTTCTGTTCGTCTACCCCATCGTCATGACGACGCCGACGTTTTTGAACTACGAAATCCGGTGGGTTCGAAACCCAACCTACAACATCACCGTCGCGACGTTGTCCGAATCATCGCTGAATCTCAACACCTACGAGTCGTTCAACATCTTCAACTTGTACGTCGTTGGCAACCTGCTCAGCACGGTGCCGCCGACGATGATTCTGGGATCCTCTATCGTCATAGCTCTCACGATCGCCGTCAAAAGAAAGGAGTTCTCCGGCTCCATCGGCGCTGCCAACTTAGCGACGAAATCTCTGAAGGAGAAGAAGATGTTCAAGATGCTGCTCACCATCTGCTTGCTCTCTCTCGTCGTCTGCTTCCCCACCAGCGTCCTGGACATGTACAACTCCTACGGCATGACGTCATCGGCGCTCGTGCGCACCTACCAGATTCTTCGCTCTCTGCTGTCCCAGATTAACGCCTCGGCAAATTTCATCATCTACGTCACAATGAGCACCAAGTTTGCCAAGACGTATCGTAGTTTAATGTCTGGTCTACAGTGCCGTGAATTATCACACGCAGGTATTTAAACAAATTAATTCTCAGGCTGTCGCAAACACGCACATATTTTATAATCAAACTTGTGTTGTGTGATAATTTTTATCAAAATCAGCTGACAACACGCTTCATGCTCATATAATATCACGTCAATACTTATATATATTGAAACTTTAGCCAAATATATAAAAAAATTATTACAATTTCAACGAGTTTTTTTATAATTATGGTCGCAAGAGGAGCCTTTGACTGTGTACTTAGATCATACCCTGACTCAAGCAAGCAAAAACAGACTAAAGACTAAAAACAGAAGTCTGCACATGAAGCTATTACTGTGTCTAATCATTTAGTGTTGCACACTTTACAAATGATGTAAGTTTTGCTTAATTGAGCATTTATTTAGCTGTTTTATTTTTATATAATATAATTTACAATATGACTATATTTTGAATAGAAAATAATCTGAAAACACACAATAATACACAACAATGCACATACAATTCACATAAACTTACATCGAAAATACACATAAATACACCAATAACTACACATGCGTGTTCCATAATTATGCATCTGAACATGTAATTAAACAATATGAAGCCTATAACGACATCTTTATTTCACTTACACCTGCAACTTCATAAATAAAAGCCAAAAATTAACTACAACAGATTAAACTAATCCTTCACAATCTGTCACCTAGAGGCGCGTGCTAATTATTTGCATGTGTAATACGTGTTTGTCGTATGATGTGTTGTGTTGTTCATAAAATAATTGCAGAACAAAATGTGAATACACACGACTTTCGAGATAACTTCATTGTAAATTAAAAGATCTTCTTTTCCCCTACATTATGTACATTCATTTTTTAACCATCCAAAATTACATATTTACATTTTACCCAATTATTTTTTTACCATTATATTATTATGATTTATGCTATATATTATTATAATTATTTTATTACATTTATGTTGTTTATTTTTTAAGTTGCTTTTTGATGGTTTTTTTAAAGACACATAAAGTAAAATGCTCCTTTATAACCTCAAAACATTTGAATAAAATATACAAACGTGTTCATGTTGCTGGAAAAAAATGTAATTATAGAATGAAGTTGATAGATTTTCAACAAAGTATGCCGTGACAATCTGTTGCGTAGTCAAAATATGTAATTCAACATTTGTTTCCTCGAAAACATGCATCTCAATTCTAGGTGAGTAGCAGATGACTCACTCATCGTCAATCGTTAACATGCGTCACTAGATGGATGAAGGAAGGGGGGGCAACTTGAAACTTCCGAGGGGCACACTTAAATTTCAAAGTGGTAGCGGGGGGGGGGGGGAAAGGGGGCCGTACACTTGTTTAAGTAAATCGTTTTTTTATAAATATTTTTTTTTAGCTTTTTCTTCCAGCAATGCCCCCTCCCCCCCCCCCCCCCATACAGTAATTAATTCCAGAAACTGCGTGAAAAACACAGCCTATTAATTTATCTATTAATTTATCTAAATTGTTTTTTTTTTGAGGATATTTTACTAGACAGCTACACCTGTCACAGTTATCAACTATGTTCAGACAGATATTATAAAAATAAAAGAAACAAAAACACATCTCAGCTTGACTTCTTTATTTGGTGTGTTGATCACATGTCAGGTTCCTCAACCCGTGGGACACTTCACCGTTGGCTGACAGCAGTCAGGGTAGTAGCCCTTGTTGTCGTATGTCACAGTGCAAGTTGCAGGGTAAGTAGGCGGTTGGCAACTATAGAGGTTAAAGTATTATTGAAAACAAATTCCAATACAATTGTCTCTCTCTCTCTGTCTATATATATATATATAAATATATATATATATATATACATATATATATATATATATATATATATATATATATATATATATATATATATATATATATATATATATACATATATATATATATATATATATATATATATATATATATATATATATATATATATATATATATATATATATATATATATATATATATATATATATATATATATATATATATATACATATATATATTATTTATTTATTTATTTATTTATATTTATATAGGGCCTGTATATTTATGCTAAAGATTTATAAAAATGGATACTAAAAAAATCAGAATTGTAACCTCTGAGAAAAAAGAAACAGAACTTTGTCTGCATCATATATTAGAATGTGTATAAAATTGAATATGGACTAACTTAACATCTAACATAAGAAGATAGGCTAACTTACATGCGACATTTAAATATGGGCTAACCTATGGCTAAGACTATCATATAGGCTAACTTACCTGTAAGACTAAAAGGTTGACTAACTTACCTGTAAGATTAGAAGGTTGACTAACTTACCTGTAAGACTAGAAGTTGAGCAAAGTTACCTGTAAGATTAGAAGGTGAGCTAATATACATGTAAGACTAAAAGTTTGACTAACTTACCTGTAAGACTAAAAGGTTGACTAACTTACCTGTAAGACTAAAAGGTTGACTAACTTACCTGTAAGACTATAAGTTAGACTAACTTACCTGTAAGACTAGAAGTTAAGAAAAGTTATCTGTAATATTAGAAGGTGGGCTAACATACCTGTAAGACTAAAAGGTTGACTAACTTACCTGTAAGACTAAAAGGTTAACTAACTTACCTGTAAGTCTAGAAGTTTGGCAAACTCACCTGTAAGACTAGAAGTTGGACTAACTTACCTGTAAGACTAGAAGTTGGACTAACTTACCTGTAAGATTAGATGTTGGACTAACTTACCTGTAAGACTAAAATGTTGACTAACTTACCTGTAAGACTAGATTTTGGGGCTAACTTACCTGTAAGTCTAGAAGTTTGGCAACTTACCTGTAAGACTAGAAGTTTAGCAAAGTTACCAGTAAGATTATAAGGTGGGCTAAGATACCTGTAGGACTAAAAGGTTAACTAACTTACCTGTAATACTAAAAGGTTGACTAACCTACCTGTAAGACTAAATGTTGGGGCTAACTTACCTGTAAGTCTAGAAGTTTGGCAAATTTACCTGTAATACGAAGAAGTTGGACTAACGTACCTGTAAGACTAGATGTTGGACTAACTTACCTGTAAGACTAAAGGTTGACTAACTTACCTGTAAGACTAGAAGTTGGACTAACTTACATGTAAGACTAGAAGTTGGACTAACTTACCTGTAAGACTAAAAGGTTGATTAACTTACCTGTAAGACTAAAAGGTTGACTAACTTACATGTAAGACTAAAAGGTTGACTAACTTACATGTAAGACTAAAAGGTTGACTAACTTACCTGTAAGACTAGAAGTTCTACTAACTTACCTGTAAAACTAAAAGGTTGACTAACTTACCTGTAAGACTAGAAGTTGGACTAACTTACCTGTAAGACTAGAAGTTGGACTAACTTACCTGTAAGACTAAAAGGTTGACTAACTTACCAGTAAGACTAGAAGTTTAGCAAAGTTATCTAAAAGATTAGAAGGTGGGCTAACATACCTGTAAGACTAAAAGGTTGACTAACTTACCTGTAAGACTAGAAATTAGAATAACTTACCTGTAAGACTAGAAGTTTAGCAAAGTTACCAGTAAGATTATAAGGTGGGCTAACATACATGTAAGACTAAAAGGTTGACTAACTTACCTGTAATACTAAAAGGTTGACTAACTTACCTGTAATACTAAAAGGTTGACAAGCTTACCTGTAAGACTAGATGTTGGGGCTAACTTACCTGTAAGACTAAAAGGTTGACTAACTTACGTATGTAAGACTACAAGTTGGACTAACTTACCTGTAAGACTAGAAGTTTAGCAAAGTTACCTGTAAGATTAGAGGGTGGGCTAACTTACCTATAAGGCTAGATGTTGGGCTAACTTACCTGTAGCAGTTGTAGCCATCTCGGATACACTGACATTTCCTACAGCCCGGCTGGTACCACACGCTCCCCATTTTTCCTCCATTAGGACACGGACCTGTCATGGTCGCAACAAAATCAAATTTTAGGCCAAGTGGGAATTTCAGACGGATAAAATATTCAGTAGTCTTTTTATTTAGGTTTTTTTTTACATGTTTATAAGCAATACATCTATTAGTAAATAAAGATCAATGTTTTGTCTTATTTGAACATTGTATGTTGTATGGTGAAATTTGCTGAGGACTTGGTACATTTTATTTTCAATGGCTAAAGCCAAAGTCCCAGCGTTGATACTTGAATTAAAGATACAGTACTTTTTTTGTTTGTTTTTTTTTAATAAAAAAAAACAATTTTGTAATACATTTCAAATTGAGAATTTGTTTATTAATGAATTTTATTAACATTGAGATCCAGCTTGATTCTTAAGAAGCTAAACATTTTCATCTATCAGTAATATATAAGAGGTCTTTTCGTATTTCTTTTTTACTATAAATATTTTAAAAATGTCATATTTAGTATATAACAAATATCACTTCTCACAAAAAAAAACAAATTTTCAAAGTGTTCAACGTTTAATACAAAATAATATATGTCAGTAAAAAGATGTTCGTCTAATACGTAAATAAACAGTTGTTCCATTAGTTTTATTTACGTCAAAACGATTTCAATAATATGTACAAAAAGTCAGTTAAGCGTTACAACCAAATCTATAAACAATACATTAAACAACTAAGATTTGAAAACAAACTCCTACATCTGACTACACAAAAAACTTACCTTGGACGTAGGTCACCTTTTGGGCCACGGTCAGTGTGACGCAGACAATGGACAGAAGACAGACGAGAACTAGAGTTTTCATGTTGATAAAATACTTGAATCTGTTAGCTGGCACAAACTCTGGTGTCCAGTCCAAGTAAACACCAGTTATATACGGAAAATGGCGTTCTACAACATCTGGTAATATCAAATTGCATTATTTAAATTCTATGAAACATTAACGTTTTGAATCACAAACAAAAAGTGCAAAAATATCCAGCCTAATAGAGCATTTTAAAAATTCTTTTGAAACTCCATGCAGGTGAGGGTAATTTTAATAAAATTATAATTTTAAAACTTGAG